AGTCCGTAATTCCATGAAAGTACTGCGTGATAACTTCATTTGTGTGGGGTTATAGAGTAGATCGTGTGTATACAGTCAGGATGTTTGGCGAAGACTAGATCTGAACAACTAGTCTGCTGCTCTTAACGTGGTCTAGATAGATGGAGGACATGTTGTGTGCGAAGAGCTTGAAGTGTACTCTTTGGAAGACGGTAGTCGGAGACGTTCTTAGAGCAACGCGCTCGTAACTCGTTCTATCTGATGCCGGGTGCACTGAAGCTATACATGTGTACAGCATCCGGTCTACTGCCGAGCTCCTTTGTGCACTCCAGTAGGCAGAACTGTTCGGCTGTCGCTCTCGATGATATCCACCATGAGATTCCGTAATGTGAAGACAGACGCAGTGACCATAGGTCGATTATATTGCAAGTACACTCGCAGAATCTACCCTGCTCTCTCACCAGTCCCATACTTGCATCCGATGTCAAGACAAATTAACACACATCTGCATCAGTGTCTATTCACCAGCCAACACCAGCCAATCTTACAGAAGAAAAGCAATTCACAATTCGTACAAGCACTGTGCAAGCCTCGTGGAACTGAAGTAAGTGCTCGATGTTAGCATACAATGCAAGACAGGCACTTAAAACGCTTACATAAGAAAAAAATATCATTACGCTACCTGCCGACAATGGAGGTGCTACCAGCACTCAGACCAACGCAGACTATGTAGAGAAGATGATGCCATTCTTAAAAGACGATTCAATACATACAAGTCTGCGCACTGACCCCAAACAATCTCAAAACTCCTGCGTTGACAAAATTATGGAACGCCAAACGAGAGAGAAATTAATCACAAGAGTTCTTGTCAAATCCAAAAATTAGATATTCCACTGCAAATGATAGTCTCCTTGATTGGTGCACCCAAATATAAAATTCCTAAGTGGCTATTTCACCAAATACACCCACTTAAAAAGAAAGCTGAGTACTCCATAGAGGATTCAAAAAGATTCTAGAAAGATTAAAACTAGTCTAAGCTTCGGTGGATGAAATCAAAGTTTTATTCGACGTGGCCTCGCTCTTCACCCAAATTCTTCTGGATTTAGCGAAACGCCGTATCCAAGAACTACTTCAGGCCTGTATTACTGATATGTTTGCTAACGCTTTGCTTAAAGTGCTATAACTCTGTCTAGAAATCACGTTCTTCTTTGTACGATCAGTGACTTAAAGGGGCTCCTTTGGGTTCGCCATATCCTACTTTTTGGCCGAAGCCGTAATGCAGAAATTAGAATCGATAGCTAATCCCACAAAAAAACCAGATTCTGGCTGCGCTATGTAGATGAAACGTTTGTCATCCTCAAGGCGGATCATTTGGACCTGCTCCACAGGAAGCTTAACTCAACGTTTTTGGGTATTTAATTCACATTCAAGGCGGAGGTTGATGGACAACTCCCACTTCTGGATGTCCTTGCCCATCTTCATACTGATGGATCACTCCGTACTTCGGTTTATCACAAAGAAACATACTCAGAGGTCATTCTACACTTTGAGAGTAACCACCCAGTCTCCTACAAAAGGGATTCTGTCTACAGTCTCCCAAATCAAGATAAAACGCACTGCTCTAATGAAGAAAGTTATCAAGCAGAAATAATTAAGTATGCGAACAAAAAATGGGCTATATCCCGTGAGCTTCCGTACGTTCCTGGGGAACATGCACAAATGTAGGTATGAAAAGTTCACGAAATCAGTGCACCTGAGTATCCCGTCCGCGTAAAATAAGTCAAGGCAGGATGCGACTGAACAAACACAAGGGAAACTGGGATGACTATCTCTGTCATATTAGTCCCTAGCTCAATGGTTAGACCATTGTATTTA